TCTCTCCCTCTCTCCCTCTCTCCGTCTCTCCGTCTCTCCCTCTCTCCCTCTCTCCCTCTCTCCCTCTCTTCTCTCTCCCTCTTTTCCAATGTCCCTGTTCTGCTGTCCCCCCATCCCTCTGTCCCTCTGTCCCTCTGCCCTTCTGTCCCTCTCTCTCCGTCTCTGTCTCCCTCTCTCCCTCTCTCCCTCTCTCTGCCTTTCTTGTCTCTGCCTCTCTCTGCCTTTCTTGTCTCTGCCCGTGCCTCGCTCTCTGCCTCCAGGATGCCTCTCTCCCTCTCTCCCTCTCTCCCTCTCTCCCTCTCTCCCTCTCTCCCTCTCTCCCTCTCTCACCCTCTCTGTCCCTCTCTGTCCCTCTGTCCCTGTCCCTCTGTCCCTCTGTCCCTCTGTCCCTCTGTCCCTCTGTCCCTCTCTCTCCTCCCCTCTGTCCCTCTGTCCCTTTCCCTCTCTCCATCTCCGTCTCCCTCGTAACCTCTCCTTGGCTCTGTTCCCGCTTGTCTTGATTTGCCTTCTTTTTCCCCTATTTCTCCATGCTTGTCCACTAGATCTGCCATGCCTGCCAGAGCCGATTTACCTCGTGAACAGAGGTCGTGAGTTTGATGTCTTTTGCTAGAGTGAAGAGCTGGGAGGACATGTAGTAGAAGCACAAGGGAGATGAGTAGGACAGTAAGGGGAATGATAAGGAGGAGAGAAGGTGGGGAAGCGTCATGAGTGCATAATGGTATTATCCTGATTTGCCGCCGGTGGAATAGGGACCGGACTCGTACGGGGGGAAAAAAAAAGGAACCGAAATGATGCTGCCCAGACTGGATATGGATTCCTTATGGAGCTGAAAAAAATTCCGAAAAAAAAAGGAAAAAAGGAAGGTAGTGCAGCTGATGTGGACCAGGAATTGTCAGTTATGATTTGACCAGTTGATTTTTTTCCCAAAAAAAAGAAGGAAAAGGAGGTACTGTAGCAACGTAGTAGCTCTTGAGCCTGGACAAAAGAAAAAACGGAAAGAAAGAACACGAGGGCCCTGTTTATGTGGCTGTTCTTCTAGGGATTTTATGTGGCTATTCTTCTAGGGGTTTTAACTTCTAGTGACTGTTCTTCTAGGGATTTTGTGTAACTATATTTTTGTCGGGGATCGATTTCTATGGCCAGAAAGCAATGCCTTTGGCCTTTTTCTTTTCTTTTCTTTTCTTTTCTTTTCCGGTGGTTTCGCTAATGTTTGTGTCAACGATGTGGCACGTGCAGCGATCTCTCGCTAGGTCTGCGATGAAGCGCAATGACTTTATCAAGGCCATTGGACACTGGTGGGTGCGACTTCACCATTATTCCGAATCCGCACGTGCAGAATGCACCCGTGATTTATAAAATTTATAATACTTTCTTCGGTACATGCTTAATATTTTATATGGAGCTCGAACTTTCAAACTTTCAAACTTTCAAACTTCAAACTTCAAAGTGAAAAGTGAAAAGTGAAAAGTGAAAAGAGGTGTATGATGTTGTTAAATAGATCTACACACTGTCACACCGGGTTTGCAAAATGGACATTTTTGGCTTGGATTGGTTGCATACTTCGTTTTTGTGTGCGCAATCAAAAGAGGCAATTTCATAACCGACAACTGCTGGCGAATACTTTCTCTCTCTCTGCTTCTGTGGCATTTGTTCGTCTTTTCTTTTTCTTACTATGGTTGATCTTAGCTAAAAGGCGGAGGAAGGTACGTGGCACTTGTCTGTGGACCTCACTCAGCTTCGCCATAAGTTTCAGGGTGCTTGAGGTTGAAATCAAATATGTTGATGCATACACTCTGTTATGCATGGCAATGTGTCGAACAAGTCGTGCTGTGCTTTCAGCCACTGCAAGGTCTGATAATGGGCGGAAAATACGTTTTTCGAAGTGCTCTTTTAGTGCAACGCGTGCGGTGCTTTCTGTAATGGAGTAGCTTTGTCAGGCTGCTGCGTTCTCAGCCACCGCAAGGTCTGGTAATGGACAGGAAAGACCTTTTAAGCGTGCGCTGTGCGGTGCTTTCAGTAATGGAGAGCTTCGTCACGCTGCTGCGTTTTCAGTCACTGCAAGGTCTGTTAATTGCAACAATCGAGGCTGTTCTTCAGATGAGTAATACTACCGGACCAAAATGGCTGGCAGAGCCAGCNTGTTAATTGCAACAATCGAGGCTGTTCTTCAGATGAGTAATACTACCGGACCAAAATGGCTGGCAGAGCCAGCCAAAAAAAAAAAAAAAAACAAGTGTGCTGCTGGGGGGGTCGTCTCTTATTGGCGTGCACTGCGCAGTGCAAATCCACGTTGGCAGGACGAGGTTCGGAGGTACTGGTGGTTTAAATCACCAGCACACCCGGGCCTGGCAGAACTGCACTGCGCGCTAAGCCTTGCCAAACTGCCAGCAGCACACTTTCTTTCTATTTTGGCTGGCGCCACCAGCCATTGTTGTCCCATGTACTGCCGATTTAAGCCTTTAAGGTGAGCATAGAACCGTCTTGGGGAAGGGGAAAGCGAAGGCAGGAAAAGCAACATAATATGCGACCCTATGCCGAACCCATCTCAACGTATGGACCCATTGATTGTTACGAGCATCCCGTTAACTCTTTGGTTTTCTTTTTCCTTTTTCTTTTTTGTGTGTGTGTGTGGGGGGGGGGTTGGAAGAGGGGTTTGCGAAGAAGGTTGCAAATTGAAAATTTTTGGAACTCTGGCCCACCACCGTCTTCACCCGAAACGCCTGCCCGGCCATTATCACTGCATGTGGACTGAAAGCTGCCCCATATACAGTCATAGTGACTGGGTGTTTTGCTCAGGCAAAGATGGTACTTTCTAGCATATTCTTTTTTACGCCTGGCAGGACTTCAGAAGCAACAACTGTCTTGGGGTTTAATATTGTGAGAACATCAACTATCTGTCTACGATGATGGTTGTTGGAGACTATCCGAAAAGAAATGAGCGCAGTTGCATTGTGGCTTTTCGTTCCGGTGATTTTCCAGGGAGACGGCGCTGACTATCAACCCCCTTCATGCAGACGGATGGTTCTCGTTCGGATTCTCGGCGATGAAGGTAACATGCTTTGAACATGTAACCAGATTCACTGCATACTTATGAAGATTGTACCGTCAGCTTTCCTGCAGTAAATTGCCGGTAGTATGATACTATATTATTATTATCTATATAATGATAGTCCATGTAAGACTGTACTTATATATTTATTTTTTATGGACATCTTATGATAGTTACTTAGATATTTATGGACATACATCTCATATCTACGCGTTTTTTTAATGAAAAGATACCAACAATGGATGAAGTTAATATGAGCAATCTACCCTTAATCATGGCTGTGCCGGCAACCGGCCGGTTGGACCGGCCCGGATCCAACCGGGCCGGTTGGACCCCTGGTGGTCCAACCGGAATTCCGTTTGGGTCCAAAAGTGGGTCAAAAAGAATTTTTTTTTTTTTTTTKAGACTGCGCTCATGGAGATCTCCCCGAATCCGCAAAGAAAACTTTGAACAGAGAAGTTTCGTTTGGGGGGTGGGGGGGGTGGGGGGGGGGGGGGTATTTCAGGGGTTGAGGGTCGGGCGTTGGGAGGTTTATGGTGAGGGTGTTAGTGGTGGAGTTTCAGCACGGGCTTCAGCAGACATTGACAACAACGTACCTGGCTTTCTGCAAACGTTGACGTTCTGCCCAAGAACTTTGAAGAGGGGGGTGGGGGTGTTAGTGGCAGGGTAGGGACGGTACTTCCCACTGAAAAACTTTGAAAAGGGGGGTAGGGGTTGTAGTGTTAGGGGGTGCTTCGTCCAAGTTGCCCTCGATACTGGTAGGGTGATGGTCCTGAGTGCTGCTCACACTGGGGTGTTAGTGGCAGGGTAGGGACGGTGCTTCCCACCCAAAAACTTTGAAAAGAAGGGTGGGGGTTATAGTGTTAGGGGGTGCTTGTCACTGCTGTCTGGTGACTGCCCTCGATACTGGTAGGGCGATGGTCCTGACACTGAGGTAGGATAGTAGGGATAGGGGGTGCGCGGGGAGCATTAACGTGGGGAAGGGTAGGGAAGGTGGCCTATCCTGTCAGGACAACCACCGGCTGCCGCTGCCAGCAATCACTGTGGGTCTAGTCCTTGGCCTCAACAACACCATGGGCTAAAAAAAAAAGCAAAAAAAAGATGCGCTACAGCCAACCGGGGGGGAACCGGCCCGGTCGACCGGCCGGTAGGACCGGTCCGGTTCCGGTTGGGGGAGGACCCCCTGGTCCTACCGGGTTTTTAGCACTGCCCTTAATGATGCAGCACACACCTCCGAAGCGTTTGAAGTTGTTGAACCGTACGTTCTGGGGGGGGGGGGGTCGGCATACACAATCAAAACTGGAATCACTGGATGTGTAGCCGGCCATGCATGTTTGGGATTGTCTTCTCTTCTCTTTTTATCGGAGCTCTCATGCATTCAGTTGTTGTTGAAAGCGACTCGCCAAAGGCCCAAAACAAACATTGAAGGATGGTCTCCATGCAGAAAATTGGGTATTGCATGAACCGTATGCTGGTGAATCGGCCCACAAACTCTCCCACTCAGAGACGAGTCTTGAATGACATGAGTTCTGGAGATGAGTTGGATAAATCACATTGTATCTCTTTGTGTGTGTGCAGGCAGGGGAGGATGACAAAGCACTGAATGCATTCACAAGGTCTGTGCAACTGGATCCTGATTGTGGGGAGGCATGGAACAACATTGCGGCTTTGTAAGTTATAAGCTATTTCTTCTTCTCTCTCCCCGCTCTCTCCCTCTTGCCATCGTTTTCTTGTTTCAAATTTCAATTTTGTTATTTGATTTACGCGAATTTTACGGTCATTTACCAAATTTACCATGGATATGAGGTGGGGAAGCCTACCTGATAGCCAGTGAAGACCTGATGTGTGGTGTTGGGTAGTTGGTGGGGTGTGTTATGTGTGCTTGATTGAATTTAATCCAACGCTGCAACTCAAATGTTCCCATACACAGATGCGATAGCAGTAAAATTGAAGAGAGCAGATTCGCATTAGACCAAGAAGAGAGATGCACAATGGAAGCGAAAAGTTGGCCGAAAACCAAGTACAGAATTGAAGAAATTGTTTTCAATTCTGAATTTCGGATTTCCCTCTGCTCTCGCCACCTCAATCAAGCTTTAAAAATCCGAAGAGTCTTAAATTCTCTCAATGGCGATTATAACTTCAACACCCCCGCCCTATCGCAAATAGTTTGTCAACGAAGATTCGGGGAAACTTCTGCCCCCATTGCAACTACTCTGCGCTTGGCTGTGGTTCCCAAACAACCCTGTGCCACGTCAGATCTGCAGGCATGGCCTGTGCTCACGACCCCCGAATAGACTCCCAATCAGATCTCCTCAAAAGCTCTCTCTGATCGAAGCTGCTACAACGATCGTTACAGCTGCCAGGTGTACGAAGGAACCGCGAGTCTTCCAAGTAGAAGAAGGTAACGAGCTGCCTCGACAAGAGATGCCATCTCCACCCAAGCCTCCAACAGCACCGTGATGAAGAGGAGAACCAGCGCCAGGAATGCCACTTCCTGCGCTGCCTTCACTGAGTTGAGCAGCTTCAGCTATGACTGCCTCCACGCCAGCACAAAGGGAATGACTGCGTGCTGAAAAATAATGCAGCTCCGCTCCTCGGCATTCGAAAACCAAGCCAATGAGAAAAGAACCCGCACTACTAGGGCTTAGACCTACGACTCGACCTACCTTCTTCCCCCGAATACAACGTACGGTCATTCTAGCTGTATCTAGACTGAAAGATACCCCAAATACAGCTATAATGACCGTACGTTGTATTCGGGGGAAGAAGGTAGCTACCTACGGTACCAGTCAAGCCGTGCAAAATCGGAATTTCAGAAAGGGCCCAACATTTTAGAATTTACAGAAATGTCCTGTTGCGGGGAACAGGGCCTGTGCCAATTGCAGAAAAAGGGCCCTAAGGCCCCTAACTCATGAAACTTACAAGGATGGCCCTACATATGGTACAGCTAGCTGGGGGGAAACTGCAATTCATTGCAGGGTGAATTGTTGATTCAACTGTCAAAAGAGAGTGGGCGATATTGCTCCGCTTAGTGCAATAGCGCATGATGGGGTGAACAAGGGGTAAATTTTTTTTTTTTTTTTTTTTTTATATTTATAATTTTGGACCATTTCTCGATTTATGCGTGTCATCCTTGCGCAGGGCCCATGCTAATCTTCTCTGTATCGTTCCAATTTTAACGGATATCCCGAAGGACAACAAAAAACTTTCTAATAACAAATAGGAACCGGAAAAGCTTGTGGATGCATGCCAGAGTTGCAGGGGTTAGGTGCTTGGTTAAGAGTCCCTCTCAGGTCATCCCAGGCGTGAATAATGTTGACCGAGACGAGTTGGGCTGTCCTGTGACCAGAGCAGAGTCAGAGGCTTAATAAATAATGTTTGGTTAAGACTCGAGAGCATGGAAACCCCGGACCCGGACACCGGACACTTCCGGACTGTCTTCCGGACCAGTGCTGGATTGGTCCGGACTGTCCGGTGATCCGGACACCACCGGACACCGGACAGTCTGGACCGGTCC